CTGTTTACATTTTGCAGCAAGCAGAAAGTTCTGTTGATCAAGAGCTGTTGTTCCTAAGAGAGATAACTCAAGCCTTATGATTTCATAAACATGTCTGGTACTGTTTGCTGTTTGAGTTGTTCAGATTTTTAAAATGAGATTAAGAATTTGAATGAATGGCTGTTTGGCAAACGTGATTTTAATTTATGAAAGAAGTGAACAATACAACCAAGTATCAAGTAGCATAACATCTGTGACTAACTTGCTAGTGCCATCTTCAGGAGATGGCTATGACAAAACTTACTCTAGAATTAGCTGCACAGGAAGATTGGCATAGATCAGTTGGATAGCTCAATACTGTATTAATAATTAGGGTGTTAATAATCGGTTCTAGCTCATTTTGACAGTGTAATGTTTTATACTGAAAATATCTGGTTCTTTTAATGTGCAGGTTTTGTGAAGAATTTCTGTGGTTACTGTATGCCTTATATTTAATTAATTCCGCTACATCTAAGAGTTTTAATTTTTTGTGCATAGGCCTATATGTCTATTGATATTTTCAATCTAATAGCACAAAATGCTTCTTATACATGGAAATGTCCTGTGGATTGATAATACATTATTGCATGTGCTGCACAGTCCTTGTAAAATATTTACTCAATGTTTCTGGCATGTCCTACTGCTCAAATCTAGGTTGACATGAGAAAATGAATTGTTATAATGCATCATATTGCTAAACTTCATTCTGACTGTGAATAAGACAAATGCAGCAACAATGTAACTGCAACTTTGGGGGCATAACTTTTATTCCTGTCAGTTGGACTCTAGAAGTACTTGATATAATTTTGTTGATCATTAACTACATTGCTACCACCATAATTTGTTCTAAGACGACTTAGTTGCATCCTGTTTTTTACTATTTAACACTTTGTAGTACTTATGCAAGTAGTAATATATGGCACTTTACTACTGTGTTTCAGACCTGGGAAAAAAGCACCTGTTGAGACGGAAGAGTGTGAGATCGATGATGACACAGAGAGCTCTGATGAGCATAGCGCAGCTGAAGATCACGAAGAGGAAAATGATGCAGAATCTGAGGAGGCTGACTCGGATGGCAGTGACTCAGGATCTGAGGATGAGGAGGATAATGGTAAATCAAGAAAGAACACTGACTTAATCAGACTTAAGTTAATAATTCATTAGAATAATAATTGCTTACACTTATATAGCGCTTTTCTGGACACTCCACTGAAAGCGCTTTACAGGTAATGGGGACTCCCCTCCACCACCACCAGTGTGCAGCATCCACCTGGCCATAGTGCACCAGAACGCTCCCCACACATCAGCTCTCAGTGGAAAGGAGAGCAGAGTAATGAAGCCAATACATAGATGGAGATTATAAGAAGGCCATGATTGGTAAGGGCCAATGGGAAATTTGGCCAGGAGGCCGGGGTTACACAGCATTGTTATATGCAACCCTGTATGTTACACGGGGTTACATATTCCAAGTTAATGGAGTTTCAATAGTTTTTGCTACAGTGTGCCCTGTGCCTTTTTTTTAAGTTGAGAGTTATTAATAAGATAAAATTAATGGTTTCATAAAGGATTTGAATAAGAGTGAACTTCATTCATAATTTTCATTAATATATTATACATATTTGAGTTTGTGTTTTTTAGTGAAATCTAAATATATTAATATAAATCAGTACATATTTAAGCAAATGAAATGCCATTTGTATTTCTATATACTTGTTTTTTTTGTCTTGTTAAGAAATTCCTGCTCAAAAGAAGCATCATACCTCAGACGTCAACGAAGGAAAAACCGTCTTTATCAGGTGAGCGAGCCAAACCTTTCAACACTCTGAATACAAGGACTGATAATTTCCTGTAATTACCTAAATGAAGTTCTTCCTTTTTACCCCCCCACTTAAAATTACAACAGCAAATTTATCAGACATTTGATCTATTCAAAAACAAACATCATGCAACTATATTACCAAGTTATGGAGGTAGAATTACATTCAGATGCTAATTGTTTATTTTATGCTTCCTGCAGAAATCTTTCCTTTGATACTGAAGAAGATGGACTGGAAGAACTACTGCTGCAGTATGGAGAGCTTAAATATGTTCGAATAGTTCTTCATCCGGATACTGAACACTCAAAAGGTCAGTTTGCTGCAACTAACATCCTGTTGCAGGTATTTTAAACCTCAAGGAGATAAACCTCTGATGTTTATCTTTAACAACCTTTTGTTCATCATAGTATTCTTAGTCTCTAGTCTTGACTAGAGATCATATTACATAATTGCTTCGATGTTCTTTGTTCCAAAATAATGAAATGCCAACTTAGTTGTAAATTGAATTTTATTCACTCTAGTTGGTCCAAAGTCAACACATTTACTAGAACATTGTTCTGATAGTGTCAGACTTAACTTTACAGGTATAAGACATTCAGGAAAATTAATATATTTTGAGATTTTCTTAATGAATAGAGAACAGAACAAATAAGGGATGAATATCTAAATTGATATGATATAATTAACCACATATGTGCAATAGGATGACTTATCTTCCTAATTTCTATGCATTAACACAATTCTGGTGTAGTTTAGGTTTAAGATTTTACCAAATTAGGAGGATTAGCAAACACTGTAGAAACTATTTGGAACAAATCCAGGTTTGGACAAATATGTTGAGTTCTGCATGCAAGAAGCACAAGCATAAATTATATCAATAAAATTTGAAACAATGCACTTGAAGAGGAGAGAAACCTAAGTGATTGTGATGACACCTCATTTAATGAAGAAGAGAAAAAGTAATGTTGGAATATATAGTTAAAACTGTAGAATTGTAAACAAGTAAGGTTATGTAAAATTACACAATCCACTAGTAAGACAATATTACATTTTGTAATTAATGCTTTTGCATTTAGTCATACTTTTACTAATACTAAAAGCAAATGGTTTAAGAATGCTTCAGAATGAAAAACATGATAGCATTTTTCCCAAAACTGGTAGAAAATTGCTTATGCAGTTTAGTTTTGGTGTTCATATGAATTCAAATTTCTTTGAAAATTCTGGAAAGCTATCACAATAAGCAAATGTTCTTAAAGCCTTTATTAAGCTGCATGCAAATAGCTTCCAAATGGGAAATTACTTTTTTATCAAAATGGATTAATTGACAAGTTTTAAGAAGTTTTGTATTTTGCTATCTCACGAAGTATCATGAATAAACTTTAAAATTGCAGTATTTTGTTTGCCATGATGCTCCGCCTCTAAAGCTGGTTTAGGTAGAATTTAATATTTCAGTGTGATAATTATTCTAGTTCTTCTTCTTGATTTTAATTATGGACTAACTTAATGTTATGCGAGTTTTCAGTAATTAACTGATGGTATATTGAATCAATATTGAATATCTCTAGTCACCAGGTGTGCAATTAACGCTGTATAAAGCTGCCAATTTTGACAAAGTTGTCCTTATTTTAGGCTGCATGTCCCCAGATCTTGCAGTGCTTTTGAACATGTGATTTTGTCTCAGTTTTGTAAATTTTATCTGTGGAAATCCTCTGTCCTCCTGCCTCAAACCTCAGTTTAAAGAATGATTTACAGTTTAAGAGTTCCACTACCTGGATTAGGGCTTAATCCAGATCTTATTTTTTTGCTATGATGTGAATTATATAACACCACACTCCTGAGTCAAAGCACTAGAAACTGGTTTCAAGCCATGAATTTTGCGGTACTTTTGACTTCCGGTTAGAATGCGGATGGGAAAGACAGCATAATACGGATCACCGCCCGGCAACTTTGAAATAAAGCCCTGAAAAAGTGTTTTTTTTTCTACATTATGTTTGGAAAAGATAATAACTATGGCTGAAGGGGCTGTCAGGAGAAGCAGGAGAAAACTAACGACCATGGAAAATGTCGAAATTGCAACTTCGGACCGTAGTCGAAGTAGCTCAACGGACTCTGAACAAGATGGCGAAGACGCCAGTCTTCAGAAAATATTATACGACCTTAGAGACTTCAGACGGGATAATAAAGAGCAGCTTACGGATATTAAACAGAAGCTGAGCAAGGTTGATAAGAGACTGGATAAAGCAGAAGGACGGATCGAAGAAGTGGAAACAAGTGTCTTAACAACAGAAACTGCGATAAAGAAACTCTTGCAACGACAAATTACTTTAGAAACTAAATTAACAGACCAGGAAGATCGCGCATTCGGATTTATGGAGTGCCCGAAGAATCGGAGGGTTGCTGCATGGTCACCTTCCTTGAAAATCTGTTAAGGGGGGAACTTGATTTACCGAAGGACGTGGAACTGGGAATTGAAAGGGCGCATAGAGCGTTAGTGCCGAGACCCAAAGGCCCGGATGCTACTCCCATTTCCAGCGAGGTTGCGGGTGTTTTACGAAGACGGCACCTGCCTATACCATTCCGCAGCAGAAGCCACAAAGGACATGGGAGAGCGGGGTCTTAAAGTACAAGTTATACCTCCAGCGCCTACACTGGAAGAAGAAATCGAGCGACTGTTGACTTGGCAGGAGGCTGGAAGACGGGGTGGTCCTGGGAAAGACCAGTCCTTGAAACAGCAAAATCAGGAGAAATTACAGAGTTTCAGGAGAAGACCCCCCCCTCCCAAGGTTGAAGAAATTTGATACAGTGAGTTGTTAAAAGTTGGTCGTGATTTAAAAGTTAAGGGTTTTTTTTTTAAACAAGTTTCCTGCTGTTTTAAGAGAATTTGTAAATGTCGGGACAGATACTTGATTACGACCAGAGTGACTTTTTATTTTTCTGGTTACACTCCCTTATTTTTTCTCTCTTTATAATATAAGTTTGGATTTGCCACCGCGCCGCCTGCTTAAGGGCCCTCTTCCAGAGGAGAATGAGGATTTCCCTAACGGACTTTCCCCCTTTCTTTGTTTAAGAAAAAAAGGAGAGAAGCCCACATAGAGTTCGGTTGAAAAGAACCCCACGGTTGGAAGAAAGTACTGTGAAAGAGACGGAGATGGATACAGTTTTGTTTAAGATTGTTTGGTTAATGTTTTTGTTTATTGTGTTTTTTGATTGTGGTGCATTATTAGAAAAAAATGATAGGAAGAGGATGTTTAACAATATGAAACGTATGTTGTATGGGAGAGATTTTGAAAGTTTTACCGTTTACATAAAATATGTTCAAGCAAGACCTTAAAATAGTTACATTTAATGTTAATGGAGTACTTAACCCTATTAAGAGAAGTAAGATTTTGTCTAAAATGAAGAAAGAAGGGGCTCATATTGCTTTTTTACAAGAAACACATTTGAGTGTATTGGAACATGAGAAATTAAGGAGAATGGGTTTCTCAAAAATCAATTTCTCCTCATATAAATCTGGCCATAGGAGAGGAGTGGCTATACTGATATCTCAAAAGGTTCAATTTGAGTTGCTTACAGAAGTACTTAATGTATATGCTACACCTGGTAGTGATTTTAATTTTTATAAAAAAAATGGTCAATTTGATGGGTAATGCACAAGGGATCCTAATTTGTGATGGTGATTGGAATGTGAATCTTAACCCCGGGCTTGATTCTACAAATTTATCTTCTCGGAGAGATAAGTCACTGTATAAAAAGATTAATGTACTGATGGGGGAAATGGCAATAATAGAACTTTGGAGAGATTTCTATCCAAGTGGGTGGGATTACACTCACTATTCCTTCCCTCATTTGGTATTTTCAAGGTTTGATTATTTTTTTATACACAAGAGAGATAGACATAGGATCCAAGATTGTGATATTGGTAGAATTGATTTTTCAGACCATGCTCCCATGTCATTGTCCATACGATTAAGTAATAATCGGGGAGATACAACATGGAGGATGAACTCAAGACTGTTGAACAATCCACAATGTAAAGAACAGATAAAACAAGAAATAAAACTATTTTTGGAGGAGAATGATAATGGGGAAGTGAGACCAGAGATGATATGGGATACATTAAAGGCAGTTATAAGGGGGAACATTATTGCTCTGAGCAGTCATAAGAAGAAGGTAAAGCAACTACAATTATCTAATCTGCATATAAAGTTAAAAAAGTTGGAGAAAAAACATCAAGAAAAACAGGATTAAAAAATCATGCAAGAAATAAAGAAGCTTAGAAACAAAATAGATGTCTTATATACAAAGGAAATTGAAAAATAATATATATATATTTACTAGACAAAAATATTATGAATCAGGGTCAAAATCACTAAAGCTGTTGGCAAGAAAATTAAAAAAACAACAGACCGATAAAACAATAAATAAAATAAGGGACAAGAACTGTAATGGTATATTATATAAATGGGAAGAAATTCAAAACACTTTTACAAATTATTACAGAAAATTATATACACAACCCCATTCAGAAAGTGAAGAAAAGATGGATACTTTTCTGGAATCTCTCAGTTTACCAACTCTTACGGAAGATCAAAATAATATATTAAAAACGACTATAACACTAGAAGAATTGAATTCAGTGATTACGAGCCTCAGAGCTAATAAATCACCTGGAACTGATGGTTTTAATTCAGAATGTTATAAAACCTTCCGAGCTGAATTAATACCAAATCTTCTTTCTGCTTGTAATTCGGCATTAATTGTTGGGAAAATGCTCCCATCATGGAGAGAGTCTATCATCTCAGTTATCCCTAAGGAGGGGAAAGATAGATTAGATTGTGGATCGTTCAGACCAACCTCAGTCCTTAATGTGGATTATAAAATTTACACAGCAATACTGGCTAATAGAATTGAAAAGATTCTCCCTCATTTGATACACTATGATGAAACAGGGTTTATTCAAAATAGACAAACCCATGATAACATTCGACACACATTACATATCATGAACGATATTCAGCAACATAATTTAGAAGCTTCTTTGATGAGCCTAGATGCTGAGAAAGCTTTTGACTCTGTTAGTTGGAAATACCTCTGTAGGGTTTTAGGTAGGTTTGGGTTTTGTGAAAATATTATTAAAGGTATTCAAACTTTATATGATAGACCAACAGCACGAATTAAAATAAATGATTATTTATCTGATAGAATAACTTTAGAACGAGGGACTAGACAAGGCTGCCCTTTATCTCCATTGCTTTTTGCTCTAACCCAGTGGATACAACAAAATAGCAAAATAAAAGGTATTTCTATACAAGGTAATGAGCACAAGATAGCATTGTACGCAGATGACGTTTTATTATATCTGGAGGATCCCACTAGTTCATTTCTAGAAGTAATGAAACTCTTAGATAGCTTTGGCTTGCTGGCAGGCTATAAGTTAAATGTTTAAAAAACACAAATTCTAACTTTTAATTACAACCCTCCTGATTTATTAAAAGGCAAATACCACCTTAAGTGGGACCAAAGTTCAATTAGATATCTAGGAGTCTATTTACCAAAAGATATTTCGGTATTAGCAACAATTAATTATGGACCCCTTATAACTAAAATTAAAGCAGATATATCGAAATGGAGCCTAATCCCCTTTATGAGTTTCAGTTCTAGAATTGAATCTGTGAAAATGAATCTACTGCCTCGATTACTCTTTCTATTTCAAGCTCTCCCTGTAGAAGTCTCTGCAAAAACATTTTCGGAATGGGATAAGATGATTTCTAGGTTAATTTGGCAGGGGAGCAAACCTATAATTAGATTCAAAGCATTGCAACTTTCAAAAGATAAAGGGGGTATGGCTTTACCACATTTGAAAGATTATTATTATGGATCTCAGGTTAAACCTCTCATTAATTCCTGTAATCCAGAATATCAAGCCAGATGGAAAGATATTGAACTGTCCCTGGCAAATAGCCCCCCAATTCAGGCACTATTAGGTAATAGAAATTTAGATAAAATTACTGAAAAAATATTCAATCCATGGATAAAGTTTCAATTAAGGACATGAAATATGATCACAAAAGAGTATAATTTAGGTGAGGCAGTAAAGATACTCAGATGGTGTGCCTATGATACAGAGTTTAAACCAAATAAGTTGGATAATAGATTTAAATTTTGGATTACAAAAGGAATAACTGCATTTTGTAATATAATGGATAAGAATCAGCTACAAAGTTTTCAGTATTTGAAGGAGAAACATAATTTGGAGAATACAGATGTTTATAGATATCTTCAAATGCACCATTATTTTAATAAGGAGATTATAAAGGGAGATTTAGATATTGTTAATGATGGAGTAGTGGAGTAGTGAAAATAGTTACAGAAGCCTATAAATCAGAATTAGGTAAAGGTATTATATCTAGATTATATAAAAGTTTTATGGAAAAGAAATCATATTCTACAGAGTATATAAAAGATAAATGGGTGAAAGAAAATGAAGTTAGAATTTCGAATGAAGAGTGGCTTAAAATTTGTGAATTTCAATGGAGATGTACTAACTCGCATTTATGGAGAGAGTTTTGCTGGGAAAACATTGTTCGATTTTTCATTACTCCGGGTCAGAAGGCGCACCATACTGAGGAAAACTAAGTGTTGTAGACAGTGCGGAAACCAAGGTAATCATTGGCATATATTCTGGAACTGCCCTAAAATAAGGCTTTTCTGGAAAGAATTACATGAGGCCATGGAAACTAGATTTGAAAGGAATGTACCCTTTACATTTGAGGCTTTATATTTTGGTAAACTGGATTTTGATTGGAGAGGAACGGATGAATATTTGTTTGGAGTCCTTATATCAGCAGGGAAGTAAGCTATAACAAGAATGTGGCTTCTCACAGATCTACCAACAATGAATGATATGATTGAATTAATAAAATAAAAATATATAATGGAAAAAATAACATTTTCTCTAAAATTACAAATGAAAACATTTGTCAAATATTGGTCTAGATGGGTTCAGTACATTAAACCTTTAAGGTCAGATTTTGTTGAGATACAGAATAACTGAAATTTAATAAGATACATATATGTAGTCTACTCCCTTTTCATATTCATAAATGTATACATCTTCCTTCTTTTGAATGTATATAGTTTTGTTAAAAAATTATATAATTGTAAAAAACTAGGGGAACAAACAGGAATTTGTGCCTGCAATGTAAGGCTGAATAATGGATGTTAATATGTAAAATGGTTTTGTTTTGTTCTTTAAAAAAACAAAAAGAATTTTGTGGTACTTTCGCAGCATCACTTGGAAATTTCTCAAAGTTTCTGGATTATTCTAATAAAAGTTCTTAGGTTCTTAAGTGGCTCACCCACAAGAGGTGCTTGTGTGGAGCATCAGGTGAATTCTACAGATCAGACATTTACCAGTTCAAACCAGTCTTGAAAAATAATAAGTAGCACAATCCACTTGAAGCACTTAAATTAGGGATCAATAAATGGTAGTAACATCTATATTATTGTCAATAGTCTGTCAATGAGTCATGACCCTAACATGTCTATTTAGTGCATGTATAAGCATTATTATAAACTACACACAGTTTTGATAGTTTGGGGTTTTCAGGTGTGGAAAAGAATAAAAATACCAAGCTTTTAAAGTAAGCAGCTAGCCCTGCTTGATGAATTCTATAATGGTACCTGCAGTATGAATGCATTTCCTTTTTGCTTAACCATTGTCAGTTTACAAACATTGTGGGCTACTAGTTTGTATAAAATAGTAGAGAAGGTTAATTATGTTCTACATTAGAATTTATTGTAATAGTTCCTTTGTATTACCTACTTTCAGGTTGTGCCTTTGCCCAATTTAAGACCAAGGAAGCTGCAGAAAAGTGCATTGCAGCAGCTGAGGAAGGATCTGAGGTAAGACTGTCATTCCTAAAAAGATTTCTGGCTTTGGGTAGATTTTGTAAGATCTCTAGTTCTACTACTGTTCACATAAATAATCTAGAAGGAATGCACATATATTGATGTGTTAGACTAAATATGGTTACATAAGTACGCAAGGGTACAAATGAGAGGAAGCAGACACTTCAAAACCTACAGGTCCATCTCCAGAAGCATGTTTAGGTATCTTAAATTTTTGGAAAACGTTTGAGAAAGGGCCTCGTTTTTAAATAATAATGGAATATTTGCCTGCATGGAAACAACAGATTATCAGGTACTGTGTTCTCCACTGCATTTGCTTATGTTTTGAAAGTTAAATATATACTTACTTTTTTATTAGGTACATGAAGTGTGAAATATATTTGCAGAAGTACAACATGTGAAATATTTAGTTTCCTCTTTTAACTTTTATTTAAGGTGTGTGTGTACATATTTCTTGCTGCTTTGACTGGAAAGAACAGATCTCAGTTATGTTTGAAATGGGTGAATTGTTACATTTAACATTATATTATGCTTTAGTTTAATACTCTCGATATCAGTATCAGGGAGCATTTCGCTATATAAGCTTTTGATGGTTGATTTGTTACCAGTTGCTGAGTATTCCTACAAGCTACAGATACTTTTTGCGGCAGTTAGGCTCTATTTTACTGTGAAAGGGTTCTACCTGTTTTTTTAAGTGTAATATAAGCGTGCAATGCAGTATTGTTTCACAGTGGTCAGCATTGCTACTTCGCAGTGCTGGGGCTCTGGGTTCAGTTCTGGACCTGGGCTGCTGTCTGTGTGGAGTTTGAATGTTCTCCCCATGTTCATGTAGGTTTCCTCCCCGAGTCCAAAGGCAAAGGTTAATTGGCTTCTGGGAAATTGGCCCTAGGTGTGACTGTGTGCATGTCTGTGTATTTTCTGTGTGGACTGGCGTCCCATCCAGGGAGTACCTTTTCTTGCGCAGTTGCTTGTCCGCATAGGCTCAGGCCTCCTGGCGACCCTTAATTGGAAGAAGTGGTTATAAAATGGAGGGGTGTAAGTGGACTACTTACAGGATCCCTTGAAGTTAAACTTCTCAGATTTAGTGTTATTGAGCAGCATGAGTGATTCAGATAGGAATGAGTGCTCATTGCGTGCTTTTTATAGCTGGAAGCATTTTTGCAAAACACCTACTCACTTTATATTTCATATGCAGTGTAAGCTGACTGCCATTATTGAAATGAAATAATATTCCAATTTAAAACCTTGCAAGCACAATACCTGCAGGTCATAAAACAATTTTTAAAGGACTTATTTATTTTTTATTTATTTATTTTCTGTTGAGTGGTTACAGGTTTTATTGCATCGTACATTAATATATATGTAAAAGATAGCTTTCCTTTTCTGTGCTGTGTTGTGGCTCTTGAATAAATGCAGGATTTCAGCTTTGGGGTGTAGCGGCAATAAATTAAAAACATTCGTTATTGCTACATCCCAAAGCTGTGTGTTTTGAAAGGGATATCCTAGAACTGCCTGTTTGGATCCAGTGATGTTACTTTATGAGCCTTCCTGAAAATTAGTTGCGCCTTAAATGGGGACAAGATGACAATGAAATATAGCTAAACTGGAGCAAGAAGCATTTGAAATTTATTGTCGTACCTTTTTAATGAACATGTTTTGTGTTTTAGAGTGGTGGGCTGAGACTAGACGGGCGGAAGTTAAACATTGTCCTCGCGATAAGTCGTGAGGAGGCTATGAAAGTGAAGACCCAAAAAGTGAAGACGCACACGGGAACCCGGAATTTGTTTCTCGCAAGAGAAGGCTGTGAGTGTGTGCTTGCCAGATAAATCTGCTATAAGAGTTTCCTGTTAATGAATTTAAACTTAGAAGGACCAACTCTTTAAAGATGTTAAGAGGCCAATTTGATAGTTTCTAAAGCAAAGCAATCAGAAATGTTAATGGGAATATGAAAAAAAAGTTGCGGGGGTGCAGTGCACCTGTAAATTGTCTCATTACTGCAAGATGCTCTTGTTGTGACCAATTCTGCATGAAGGCAGATTGAGTTGCAAAGGAAATTAAAATGTCCAGCTCTGTTAAAATCTTTTAAGACCTTTGTGTGCAGGGCAGCTTCTCTATGTGAAAATATGAATCTTCATTTGCAGTGATTCGGGCGGGAACGGCAGCAGCTGAAGGGCTTTCGGCCGCAGATCTCGCGAAGAGGGCAAGGGTAGGTACTTGCAAAGGAAGCGTTTCACTAAGGGACAACAGAGTAAATTACCATGACCTATTTAGCCATCCATCAACTTTCTTTTCTGGCTTTATCCAATTCAGGATCATGGAGGGGAGAGCCAGAGCCTTTTCCAGTGGTTCCTAATCCTGGTCCTCGTGACCCACACACTTGCCGGTTTAATTAGATAATGGAAGGGTTACTTGTTCTAAGAAGTTGCTTCAATTACCACTAGTTTGGGAGTTTATTTCACTTACCAATACAACAGCTAAAACTCCAGCATGTTTAAGAGCTGGGAACAAATAGTTCAAATTCAACATAGTATAAAGTCAATGAAGGGGTTGATTGTGTAAATGGCTGACCCTGCACTCTGACCCAAAGCTCCTCTACCTGTCTATGTGTCTCATGGAGAGCAAGCTGGGGTATGCAAAAAGACAAATTCCTAACGTAAGAAATTGTATTTGGCTAATAAAGTGATTTTATCTTATCTGTATTCTGTCAGTCCATTGCAGGGCATGCACAGGTGCAAACATACACACTCATTCCAGGGGTAATTTTTTGACAGAAATCAATTAACCTACCAGCTTGTCTTCGAACCCTGGGACAAAACCAGGAAAAATCTACTGGAAACCTACATGAACATGGGGAGACCATATAAATCCAACATACCACTCCAAGTACTGAACCCAGGGCCCATGACGTATTGCCCAGTATTATTATTTTTATTATTATTTAGAAAAGTAACTCCTGGAGTACAGCACATTGGTGCAGTGGTCCCCAAGCTCTGCAAGGCAGCGGTGCTAACCTGGATGCGATTCCTGGGATGGAAATTGGCCTTGGTATGTGTGTGTGTCCTGCGATGGACTGGGGACCTATCCAGGATGTACCCTGTCTTGTGTCCATTGCTAGCTAGGATAGGCTCTGGCTCTCCCTTGACCCTGAATTGGATAAAATAGCTAGAAATTGGATGGATAGAAGTAACACCTACCGAAGTTAAATTACACTAATGTATGATTTGTAAGATCTGGTATTATGCCATATTCTGTACAAAATACATAATTAAAGATCAAGACGACCCTTCAATTTATATATACTTCTCATTTTAAATATTATGTGGCTTTTACATTTCACTGAAGCTCTCATTCTTACTCCACAATTTTGAAAGTTTAATGCATAACCATTCTTTGTCACATTGCATCATTATTTGCTAATAATAACTGCCGTGATGTACTTTTCAGTTTGAAGAACTTAAACGACTGAAGTTGAGAGATATTAACGTGTTTGTCTCGAAAACCCGTCTGTGTGTCCACAACCTGCCGAAGTCAGTGGACCAAAAACATTTAAGAAAACTGTGTTTAAAAGCAGCAGGGGGTGGCAAGGATGTTAGGATAAATGAGGTAAGAGCTGCCATTTCTGAATTCATTAAGGCAGATTTAGCTCTTTAACTATAAATTAAACATATATTGCTACTTTTCTCCCAGTGTAAAAAATGCCAGTGCTCATTTACATACAGAAGAACTGGATTTACTGTTTTTCGTTCCATAAATTTATCATGCATATGTGTTTGAAACCAATGTACAGTTACTGTTCTTATGTTGTTACTCTTCCAAATGCATTTTGACATGCATGCTTAATTAACGGATTTGTTTTATGTGTCAATCTTGGTATCCATGGGAGAAGTATCTTAGTTGACCATCTGTAGTGACACTTTTGTCCATTAGAGGGAGTATTGTACTGTTTATTATATTCATATTTCATCTCCAGACATGCAGGGCACAGAAATGTTAGACAACATTGCTGTAATTTTGAAAATAAACATCTTCTCATGTGATTGCTTTGACATTTTCTGGGATGTGCTGTATAAGTCTTTGAAGTTATTTTGAAACGTAAGAAAGCCATAGGAATGTAACATTGTAGGATTTTCAAAAAGATGGCGACACTGATAGAGATTTGCAGGTGAGCTGAGGTTTTTAAATTTTCACCATTTGGTACAGCTAAGACCAAGGGGCCAGTTCCTCTGCAGTCAACATGGTGACATGTGTTGTCCTACAGAACATGTTATTTCAGAGTGTCCAGAATAACATGAAAGATTTTGTCATTGAAAACATAGGAGTGTGAAGGCCATTTTGTTTGTTCCCCTCCAGTGTCGTGTGATGTACGACAGGAAGCCCCAGTTGGGAAAGACTGTGGGGCGTTCTCTGGGGTATGGTTTTGTTCAATTCCAGGAACATGATCATGCCCTGAAGGCTCTCCGTCACTTGAACAACAATCCTGACATATTTGGTCCACAGAAGGTCTGTAAACCTAACTTCATATGGTACATTTGTTTTCCAGATATGAAATTGTGGTTTTAATCATTTAAAGATTCCTGATGAATTGTGTAATACCCTCCCTCTTGGAAGATTTGTGGTTTTGGAAATGAGAATAACCACACTGGAAGTTAACATTGTACAGTGCATTTAAAATGTCTAAGATTATTTTCTGTAGAATGAAATCATGCTGATGTACACGGTAAATATTACTACTGTAGTTCCATATTGGGATAAATTACCTTGTTTTTGTAAGTGTTATGGTGACATATCGTGAGGCAGGCTTCATGATTAAAAGAACCTACAATTCAATTAACTTATTTTTATATTTAATATAATGCAGATTATTTGAAACCTTAAATTTTTATTGGGCTTTGTGTGGTAATGAAGTTTCAAATTAAAGAAAATAACATTTTCACTAGATAATGTCACTTATAATTGAAACATTTGGCATTAGTTTTTTTGTTTGTATTACACCCTTTCTGTTTTATATAGCTTTTTCTATATGTATAGGTGTATTTGTGCAATATGTAGTTTGATTACATTGATTTTTTTACATTGGATTATAATGTGTATCTTAAGCATGATTAAATACATTATTTTTTAATTGCAAGAGCAGACTTAGAGAAGACTGTGTGTATAAAATGGGAAGGAATTTCGTAAGAAACAATGGTTCCCAAGGCCAGCAGTTTTATAAGCTCACTATGTTATCGATACAGATTTATTGACACAATTAGTTATACTTTAAATGTAAGTGAAGAAATTTTAATATATTGTATTTTTTTATGTAGAGACCAATTGTGGAGTTTTCTCTTGAAGATAGTAGGAAGTTAAAAATAAAAGAAAACAGAGCACAGAAAAGCAAGGTAATATATTTTTTTCTTCATTAATATAATAAAGTTATCAGAAGTTAAAAATGTTAAATTTGGACAATAGTATTAATGTTTGCCGGCATATTACCTTTTGTTTTATTGAGCCTTCTCAGTGCTTTTACTGTCACAATTAAAGGCTAACTGCCCTCTTTTTCCCTTTTGTGTTGGCACGAACAATTTCAGACATCCGAAAATAATATAGGAACATACGAAAGGTTGCAAACAAGAAAAGATCATTCACTTATTTAACCTGCTTAGTCCTTATTGATCCATGGATCTCCTCTATCCCTTTCTTGAAAGAAGCCAGGTTATTGGTTTCAACACGCTGGCTGGGCAACTTATTCCATGTTCCTTTAAGCCAATGGGCAAAGAAGTGTTTCCTGTTCATGGTTTTAAACATTCCACCACATAGTTTCCACTTCCTCTGATTTGTGTATTGCTGTGCATTATGAAGAAGTCCATTGTGTTGACTTTGTCATTGCCTTTGAGGATTTTGAAAACTTGAATCGGGGCCACTTGTAGTCTCTGTTCAAGACTAAACAGGTTCGTTTCCTTCAGCTTGTCAATATAGCACATTTCCTTAAGCCTCAGAATGTGTCTAGTTGCTCTTCTTTGGGTTGATTTCAGACCAGTAGTATCTTTATTGTACTGAATCATTTTAAATATGTTATCACTAGGTTTTTGTTTACCTGTTTATTGCTTCCCCACATTGTCTAAAAGATGTAACAGGGATATAATGTCAGCATAAACACCTTTTCATAATTAGCCTCTTCAGGCTTAATTTTCCATTTAGTATTTATAATTGGTGCTAATGCTTCAGTAATGAAAATAATGAGAATCACTAAGAATGAGATTCAGTGACATGTTTCTTTTTTATTCTCATAGCAAAATGTGGCAAAAGCAGGAGAAAATAATAAAAGCAAGAAGAGTTCGAAGGTTCTAGAGTGTGGTCAGAAACGAGAGCAAGATCACTCTGAGAGCACAAGTTCTCGTCTGTCGGACATTGTAGATGTTGGTGAGAAAAAGAGTGGACATTGGTCAGGATTCCAGACCAAGCCAGAAGTAGAAAAAGTGGAACTTGAAGATGGAAAGAAGCGGAGAAAGATTCTGGACCTTCCCTCGCACAGAGGTCCTAAAATTAGGTAATGTATGATCCAAATATTTTGAAAATCTAGTGCTGTTTTAGCACTGTTTTCCACACTTGGTTCTGGTTATTGCCCAAACCAATAAGTTAGCCTAACTGGCCTGTTTGTCTAAATTTAGATAATCCTTTTTATGAATCCTAGGTACAGTTGTACAGTTGTTGATCAAATAATGTGCTCATTTAAAGGGACAGTGGTTCTTGGGGATTAGATTTCTTTCTGACTGATTTCTTAATTTAACATAAAACTCCTATACATGATGTACCTCTGAACAAAATGTGCTATACAAATGCATGCAGCTGTTTATTATATTAGCAAGAAAAGTAAGTAAGATCCAAAATTAATATTGGCTTTTGATCAATTGTAAGCAATATACATGCATCTTAGCTCCACACTTTTGAACTCTCTTTGAAAAAATCAAATTGTCAAAATATTTGGAAGCAGTACCCCAGATTATGTAATCGGGCATTTCTAGGAAATCAAGTCTTCCCAAAGCAGTAATTTCAGACTTTGTTTATCACTGAGCCAGTCTGGTTCTTAAGGGATCTTCTTTTAACCCATTAGGGTGAGAACTTTTAAGATACAATTTGTTTTTTAATTTCAGGTAAAGTAAAAATGTTCTCAAGTCACAAATGAAGTAATTTTTCATTGTGTACAATTTTAATTTTTTATTTATTTTAAAATCCAAATATTTTCAATATTTCTGCATGTTAGGCTCTGTGTAAAAAGTATGATTCTCAATGACCATTTTAAAATTGTAACAAATGGGTATAGAATAATAAGATTTCCTTTTGTACAGGATGTCTGACTCCCATTGGGAAAACATTTTTCGAAGTTCTAATACAATACAGGTTAAAAAATGTATAATTCAGGTTAAAAAAAACTAAAGTCAGTTATTTGGCCTCCAGGAACAGAAGAGCAGGAGGCTGGAGTATTTGTTTCAGTATTTCAGTGAAATACAGAGCTGTTACTAGCCTGTGATAAGTATTCTTGTTTCCTGTTAATTAATAGTTACAGTGAGTGGTCCAGTCGTTTTGATCCCTGAGGGGGAAGAGGGAATCTTCTTAACATATTTTTGTGTTTTTAATATTGTAGGTAAATTCTCAAATATAATGTAAAAAAAGAATAAAGAATGACTGAAGTGATATCTGGATAATGGCTTTGATTTTAGAAAATACTTCAGGTTTTTAGTTTCTTCTTTTTTTACCTGTTTAAAGGATTTAAGATGTACTGTTCAATTAAAAAGAGTGAAATTCCAGAATTTGTTATTAAAGGAATATGTTTTTCATCTTCATTATTTTTTTCTATATGCTCAGAAAAAGAGATAAAGGAAAACAGCAGCAAGTCCAGCCAAAGAAGGTCAGGGACCAACCCAGCAGGAAGGAACGCATCAAATCAGTCTTCATAGAAAAACAGAGCCAGCAAAGAAATCAGGTCAGTAAATTTACATGTTGCTGTATTAAATCCTAATTTGTGGCAGTAAGCCAATAGTAAAAATATACAGATGTTAATTAAAATTTTGTTCTCAAAAAGTGTTTGCTGTAAAAGATAGATTATTTTAGAGTTTTAATCAATTCAGACATGTTCTTTAGAAAGAACATAACTGTGACATAGGGAACAAGATTTTATGATGAACTGCAAAATCGCAGACCTTGAAGTAGCAGGCATTTTCTATGTGATGATCTCTTTCTTATATGAGCCAAAGTAGTTTACCAGTGGTAAAATTTTTCACTGTGATTTTTTCTCGCCGTGGTTTAGTGACTATTTCCGTTGCAGCGCAGTTCTGTTTCATGTTGTTCTGAAGTTATTACTGTAGTTAATGTATACTTATGTACTTGAGACATCATCATAATGTAGCAGTTAATTTTTAAGTAGTATTAACATACCTTTATTATTACTACATTACTACATATTAAACTAAAAAGATTAGTTTTGTCTTATGGTCATTGACCCCTGGACTAGAATGTCCAAACAAATGTCCCAGTATTTTTACTTTATTGAAGAAGACGCTGTGACCTCAGAAAGTGAGACATTCTATTATTAAGATGTCTGTGTGCATATATATATTTTTTGGTTGTGAACATATTCACAAAAGACCTGAGGAGATGTTTACTGAGGTAATAGATGAGGACAGCAAATAGTGTCAGATCCTTTGTTCCGTACAATGCCAAAATGTCTTTTATGGATAATCTACAAAACATTTCTGGTTTCAAAGATAATACTCTAGCAGTTGCAGAGTTTCTTGTCTCCAAAATAGCACTCAGCTGGAGTTTGTTTTGTAGAAGGTCATTCCAAGGTAAATCAGGCCACCTTGAATGTGCTGTTTCCTCTGGTGATCTTATTAGAAAACTTTAAGGGTTCAATCTTAAGGTTCATAGCAGGATCATTGTCTTCCCACTTACTGTCAGGTTCTTTCTGAGCTGGATGTATGGTTTTTGTGTCATTGTGGTGCAAACGGCTTGGTCACGTAAGGTCTGCAATTAAGGTGTTTGAACATTAAAAATGTGTGAACTCTTTATTCTGAGAGTTCAGGTTAATCTTAAAGTAGTTTTCAGGGACATGCTTTTTATGTTTTCACCTATCAGCAGCTTTATACATGTTAACATAATCATTTATTTTTTGCTTTAGTAATTTTGTTTATCCTAGTATGTAATCATATTGGGAATGTGAGTTTCCTCACATTCCTCAGTTCAACTGTTAGAAGGAGTACAGTATTTAAACTTACCTGTCAAGTGATTTAGGGTGGTGTTCTGTTTGGATCCACTGTTTCGATAAAGAAAAATACAATCTCAGCCAGTTAAAATACAGAGCAGGAATACAATTTTTTTTTCAAATCATTAAAAAATGTCCTCCGGCTTTTGCATTAACAGTGACAGGTAGATGCAACCATGGACATGCTTGTCTTTTCACTGATGTGTACCACGGTACCACAAAATTGTGTGTACAATATATGAACATTCCTCTCAGGATCTGTACATTTCAAAGATCATGAGTGCTATTTAAATATATCTCTATTTGAATTTGAAGCCTTTGATTATTAACTACATTTTTATTATTTAGTATCCTAAATGTATTCTTCTTTTTCAGCTCAGTTATGAAGCTCTCTTCCCAGTTTTTCACTTGTTTGTAATGGTTGTGCTGCTCAATATAAAGACTGATCTAGCATCCTGAATGTATTCTGTGCCAAGATGTTGCCATACCTTGTGGACAGGACCTCTTTGCAACTAACCATGGGAAAATCCCCTGTGATAAAATAATTGGCAGCTTAATGGATAACCACCAAATCCTGTCTTATGGAACCTCTTATTGACCATATTCTTACTCCCAGTGCTCATATTCAGTGCATTCCAGTGCATTCTAGAAGAGCATTCCAAAAATACATTTCTTTTTTTGTCTATTAAACTGAGTTACAAAAGACATTTAGGAATGTTATTGCCATCATGGGAACATGAATTAGACCATTTCATTCCAGTTTCTCAGTCTGAATTGAGTCTGACATTCAAAATTCTCATACTCCACTAAAGTGCTAAAGCTGTTCTTGGGATCAAGAGAATGTAGTCTATAAATTAGGATAATTAACATCCTGTGTGTACTGACATCGTAATGCACATTTTGTTGTATTAAGTTACCTCATACGACATACTGTATATTCCAATATCTTTAGAGATTGACATAGACCCGTTTCTTTGCAGTATTTATTTGTGAAACATCCATGTATAAAATGCAACGTTGCAAAGAAGCAAGTAAAGGTTTATGCCACGCTGAAAAGAAAGGAGACATAAGGTGTCTCTTATTATGAAATAAACCTTTACTTGTTCCTTTACAGCCTACGCATACTGATGCAGCGACCTTGGAACTTGAAACTTGCACTTGTTAAACAGTGTTGGTGAAAATAGGTTTTTCAAAGTCCATAACCTTGGAATTGTATTAAAGGTACCTTTTCAATGATGTATGAGGCAGTACTGTGATACAACAACTTGAGTTACTTTTATATTTAAATTGAATGGCATCCTTTATGATGAAAGTTTAAAACTAACGTGAAATTCAACTAGCAGCTTATTTCTGAAGATCACTTTTTTGGTTTTGTGTATGTTATAAAAAAATGGTATATTAAATAGTACAAAAAATATTTTTTTCGGTTTGTTTTACAGACATCGAAGAAGATGAAGAATACATTCAGGCGTAAAGAGGATGATCGGTTTGACAGTCTTGTTGAAAAGTATAAGAAGACAATTCTTGGAAATCCCAAGTCATCCATTGTGAAAAAGGGCAAATGGTTCATCAGTTAAAACCAGCTGCAAAAAGCTGTTCGTTTCTAAAAAAGCCAGGTATTCTTCCACAGCTCAAACCAATTAGCTGGTGACTTAAAAATCTGTAATGCAGACATCTGTCGTTAAAATGGGTATTTTTGGTCTACTTCTCCCAATCAGTCACAAATACACAAAGCTGTAGACTTGCGGACCCATGAAGACTTCAGAATGAAGTTGCCTCTCATGTGTACAGAGAGAAGGCTGAGGACTTTTAGCAGTTTATCTTTTGGGATTTTTTCTAAGACCATGTAAAATGCAGTAAATACCTGAAGCAAAAATTGCAGCTTTTTTTCCCAGTTTTATAGGTTACGCAACCAATACCACAAGCCACTGTCATTTCCAAGTGTCCTGAGACAGATGAGCAATGTGTTTACTAAATTAACACACTTTATTTCAGAAGAGTAGGGTGGTAATTTTGTCTCCTTCACATGTCACATAGACATGAGTAATATTTTCCTTGCTACACTTGGTGTATGTCTCGCTTGTTAAATAAACATTGTCTGTTGGTACCCATTTAAACAGTTTTAAGTATTTGTTCCTCTTATATAAGAAATGAGAATTTTTGTCTTTTAAAATCTAGAGACAGAAATGCTTCTGTAACAAAAATGAACAGTTTAATGTCTAGAAGTAATTTGAAACTACCAGTTCTAACAACTACATGAACTAGACAGTTTTACTGAAATAATTTGAATAACATCTCTCAAACTCAAGCTTGAGTTTGAGAAGTGCCCTAAAAATAATTTTAAAAGGTACTTGAGTGACAATTGTCATAATACTATTTTAGATTAAAGGTAAACTGGTCAAGGCATTTGTATTCAGTATTTCTTTTAGTTTAATTTTTTTTTTATTTGGATGTACGGACAACACAGTGGCACAGTGGTTAGCATTGCTGTCTCACAGTTTTGTGACCTCGGGTGCTGTCTGTGTTGAGTTTGTATGTTTTCCCCATGTTCCTTGATAGGGATGTTCCCCATGGGTTTCCTCTGGGCACTCTGGTTTCCTCCCACAGTCCAAAAAACTGTGTGTGCTTTGTGCCTGTTGCCTGCCTGGATAGGCTCTGGTTTCCCATGGTCCTGAACAGGATAAGTCACAGTTTTTCTTTTAAATATGAATAAATTCCATTGTTTGTGGGGAAATAATCATCTTGCAAGTGAAAACAACATAGAAGATTACGGACTTAGAACATTCCACAGTTGTATGATTTCCTGTAATTACAGAAAGGTGAACAAATTTAAAAAATAATCTAAAAGTTCAATTTCACAAAAGGTCTGGTCACAAACAAGAATTCATTATCAGGATGGTATTGCAGGTGTTTCAGTGTTGGGCTGAAGGCACAGCTTGTCAGTCCTGGTCAACAGGAGCTTGCCTCGTTTGTCATTCCTATTGCACTTTGTGCATTGGCTAATTCTAATCTGATCAGCCCCCATTTCTTAGTATGAACTATAAACAACTCTTTGAAAGTTGGAATGGTTCAGACGTTGGATTTAACCCTTTACCAATAAAATGATTTGGGACTCTCCTAATGCAGATGAGTGGGACCCAGATTATAACAGATCTTTGAAAACTGACCTGGTGCCCAGTTGTTATGGCTTTCCAGTGAGATATTATTAATTCATCTGATGTCATGATCCAAGGGCACTAATAACGTAATGTAAAAAATTAGCAGTACAAAATACTTAATGTAGAGTGGAATAAATAAATATTCACAATATGATCAGGAACTGATTCTCATATTATTAGATTCTCAAACTAGTTTACTGTAATCGAAACATAAGCAATGGGCATGTAAAAACAAGGATAAACCATATGACGGCACATTCAGAAAGTGAGTCTTAAGGAGGAACAAGATTATCAACGAAGATGCATACTTCATTTATGAGAAAAATCGGCACAGGAGGCAGAATAATTACTGAGTGATCAGCATGTGGATTAAAGAGGATATAAGGATAAGTGGGGGCTGAAAATAGGCAAACAGAGTGCTGAAAGGAGCAGTAGGTAAGAATAAGGAACTTGAATTAGATCTGAGCAGAAAGTGTGAGCAGGTAGGATCCTGTCAGGAGTGGTAGGTAACCTGGACTCTATCGTAGAAGCGTTGTGCACAAGGTGGGATTACACCCTGGATGTACCCATACACGGATGTGCAAATATTCTCTATACACATAGAAATAGTTTAGAGACACCAATAAAGCTAATTAGCAAGTATTTGAAAGATTGGAATAAAGGAACACTAGGAAAAGCCTATGCAAGCTCTACCCAGAAGGTGACCTGGTCTGGAGCTGAACCCAGGATCCAAGAGCTTTGAGTCTATAATACTGCCCACCCACCACACTGACTTCTGATTGGAGCAGTTGAACATTTTTCAAGCTCTTCAGGCTCATAAGATATGTAAATTCTACAGGAAGGTTATCCTCTAGGGCTGGAGCTGGAAACCCTAACTTAACATGTAATGAAGACAAACTTTCCAGTTTTCTAGAAAGAAAGAAGTGATGCTCATATTATTTCCATTCGGTGTTATTGCATACTGTGTTCTATAAATTTCACATATCTTCATTGTGCAATTGCTTACTGACTGCCAAAAGTGTGACAAAATTAAAGGCGCTAGTTATACATTTGCATCGTTTGTAAAATACTTTCTATGTAAATGTACTCAACAAAAGAAACCATTCAAAGTTATTTCTTTTTATTTGATTCTATCCACTTTGGATTAAACAAAAATGTGTTTGATTTTTTTTCCTCATGCTTTCCAGAGTAATATCTGGCTGCCATAATTTGAATACCTGATGTGATCTTGCTAAATATATTTGACAGACTCACATTTAGAATACAGTAACTCAGAATGAAATCTTTTGCACCTAGTAGCTATAAATCCTACAAAATGATCGCTTCAGGGAATTTTATTAGCTTGAATTTCATGGCATATATATATATGAACAGCCATGTTGACTCCCCAGTTTCTCTAATTTGTCTTGCTCAGCAACTTATTTTGTTTGCTGAATTTCAATAGCCTATCTTCTAGATTTTCTTATTCCCCTCTCTGGGTTTCTAAGTAGAGGTGCTTGTAAACTATAAACTTCCAAGCTCAGGATTATGAAGCATTTAAGTGAAGAGTATTTTAAAAGGAATATTAACCTTTATATACATTGTGCAGTTGGTTATGGCACCTTCATGGCATATAAGGAAATTATACACATTTAAAAAAAAATTATTGATGTGACAAAATTACTTAATAAGTGTGGTCTACAGTGAAATGCTTATCTTAGTCAAGTCTAGAGATTTTAAATGTTGTAACCTAGCAATGGGGTACATGACACCCTTGCATAAAAAAATTAAATGGAGAGGCACCACATGTATTGAGATGTTTTATGAGTTTATGAGTTATGAGTTATTTTATTGTTACATTTATGCTATAAATGTAGTGAATTTCAGAGCATTTTTCATCCAAATGAGATAATTCGATCTGACATAATCTAGTTAACAGCTGAAAGAGAATACATTCTTCTATAGCAGATAAACTTTTCTTTACATGAACCACCAGCCACCACATAGTGGCAGTCTGAGCTCAAAAGATGTCTTATGACTAAGCAGAATGTGAATTCACTTGTCCAATGGATGAGCCTGTCTTATGATTTAATCTAATTAGGAGTACTGCAAAAGGAATCATAATGCTTCCTGCAAAAACTGTGGTTTAAAAAATGTGTTTAAGGCATTTTTTAACTCCATCTGTTAATTTTAATTGTAATTACTTTTCATTCGGTAATTAAAACTGATGCTTAACATTACCTACAGCAAAATTATAATGTTCTTTATTCTCAAAGGGCATTGACATTGGCTATGCCTGACTAATATTACACTACGGTCAGACATGGTGTTTTTTATGGAATTGTATGAGATGTTAAAGGTAAGTTATAAAACTTTTTTTTATGATATGCAGATTACTGGTTAAAAATTTATTTTAATGTAGGTATTATGTTCTATTCTATTACTATTTAGATTACATCACATTCTAATTATCTATGTTCTGCTACAGAAAAAAATCTGTTACTAAAATTACCCAGAAAAGTGCCAGGAGTTTGGGGGCAGAGGACCACCTGAATAGTTCACTTAATTTGTACAAGCCGTAATTATACTTGCCTGAGTGCAGGCTGAGCTCTTTGAACATGGGTCCGGGTGTTAAGGACATTATAACAGAACATAACATGGTATGAGGGTATAATAATATATTTAAATGCTGAAAGACAGAATATATATTCTCATTTAAATCCATTTGTCCGATAATGTCAAACACTCTTTCTGGTCATCTAAGGAACTTATCACTGCTGCAGTCTAACAGATGTGCTGTGTGCTTTATCTCCCTGCTTTCTCAACAACAGAACTATGCCTAGCTGTATCTTACAATGAAAAAATTGTTATTAAAATGAACACATTCATGCTTGGAAATGGTTGACCTTTTTGTATTTTTTCCTCCCAACCCCCAGCTGAAAGGCACACTTTGCCTTTTTACAAAAATCTTCAATGTTATTGTTGCTGAAATAATATTATAGTCAACAGAAACTGGACCTAGGAGTGACATAGTTTAAAGGCATATGGTGCTCTTTGGGCTCTTAGGGATTCACCATTTTACAATAACCGTTTCAGATTTGCACCTGCTATGGTGTTTTAAATAAATACTACTGACATCATTCCATTTGCTTGCTAAGAAAGGAAAGTACTTTGAAATACGTGGCATTGTGGTTAGTGGTTTTATTTAACAGAAATTTGGGAGGTCAAATTCTAGTGTTGCACTTCTGCTCCCTTATGCTTACTCCATTACTGCACATAATTCTACATGCATCTTTTCAAGCACTCAGCTTTTTTGGTCTCATCGGAGATAAATATGTTTAATCTCTTTAACCTCAGAGTCTCCATGGAAAACTAGCACTCTGAACAACCACGGCCAAATTCCTTTTTTCCCTTCCCTTTTTCTCTGTGTCCTAAATGCGTCTGCTCTCCCTCTTTCCCATTTTTCTGGTTCTGGTTCAGTGTCTAACTCAACACACCAATGGCCCTTGCCTATATTCTTTGTTTCATCTCTGCCTTTTCCCCAATCTCCTTTCTTGCTGATTTCATGGAAAGATCCTGGTTGATGATACTCACTCCACCCTTTGGGTGCGAAGGAAACTGCATTAGTGTGTACTGGGCTTGGGCGTCCACGTTCATTGTCCTTGCTATTCATGGTGTCCGGGTTTTCCCCACCCCTTTACCCATTCTCTTGTTTGGTGTCCTACTGGTGCAGTGTTGGCCATTGACTCATCCCCCTCTCAAACTCCACCTGCTAATATAGCTAAGTATGTCTTCTTCTTTTAGGGGTTACACTTGTGATATCCTGTATCATCATCTATCTGTTTCTAGCAAACAGTAAGCATTTGCTCTCTACCTGCTCCTTCCTATTTGTGCGTCAGACTACTCTTCTGGGTCGCTGCAGTATCCTTCTACTACCCACCACAGGTTTCCAATCTCAAGCTTGTTGCTGCTGCTAGTGCTGCCACATGTTCAAGACTTGCATTCCTTTACTGCAAATCTAAATCTACTTGATCAAACATGCTCAAGTCTGCATCATACTGTACGTGCTTCTCATTCATTCCAAGCTCTTTGCATGTTCTGTTCGGTTCCAACTCATTCTTTACTTTGTGTTCAAATTCTGCGTTGGTCTTTTGGGGATCTTTTTTGGGGAGATTTTCATTGTAATCTCCTCTGCTAGGCGAGATAATGCTAACGTATTAAGTATGCTATTCTTTATATTGATACCTGAAGAAGGCTCCACGGCCGAAACGTTGTGTTCTCTTTCTTCTTTTTTTCAGCATGGAATAAACCTATTACTTGTTCCTTTATATTGATAAGCTCATTTCATAGTTATTACAATTTGACCAAATTATTAAAATTGTGCTATTTAACAGGAGTGTGGGAGGACATCAAAATTCTAATAACTTCCCCTCTCTCCACCTCAACTTCACCTCTGTGGAACCTCCCTGGTTCATTCCTCTTAAGTAAAAGGGGTTTTGAGAGTTATGATCTCAGCCAGGTGAGTAAACACTAAAGTACTCTATCCCTTCATATTTGTTGGCTCATTTAATCATTATTAGAATTTGATCGAACTACTAAAATGTACTGTAGGATTTGGAATGTCAGTTTCATGAGCCAGTAATTCACAGCTTCAGGCTTAAAATTGTTTTAAAAAATTATTATTTAAGATTATTGTACTAAAAATGCTATTTGTTTGAATACATTGTTGAATTGTAGAATTTATTGATTTGCACTTTTTCTTCAGTATTCATACTAGTTTAATGGTACTCGAAGTGGAGCAATATGTCATAGTATGAATTGTATTTCACTTTATGATTACATTCAGTATTAAAACAGTGGAAAGGACTTAGGGTATCATCTTAAAAAAATAATACTGGGGAGCTTGTTCAATATTACCCAATCCATTGTATAAAAAAGCTCCTGATGTTGTCAGTTTTCAATGTACGTCCCATAGTTTCCATGTTCAGGTTTCTGTGTCCATCATGAACAAATTCCACGGAGTTGGCTTTGTTACTTTAATCAATTCCTCTCTTTTTTTTTCTCTGTTCAAGATAAGTTCAGTTTTGTGTCAATCAGTAAAGAATAGAGAATAAATATTTTCACAATATCCTTAATAAATGTTCCTCACAGTTACAGTTCTGTTTATTATATAGAGATGACTAACATCAGGCAATGTTCAGCTAGATAAGAGCATCCATACATCATGATGCATTCATAATTTACCAGTGGCAGAACAAGCAGGAGCTTGGTGAAATAATATTAAATAATATTCGCCTTATACTGCATATATTTGTACTGGTGTATCCACTGGTCAGTTAGAAGGCACACTTCACTGTATATGGTATAAACATCCTATTTGTCTATTTGTCAACTATGTGCAAAATATTGTTTGTTAGTTGTTTGTCACAGCATAGAAATATAATCCTTTATTCTGTGCTGGAGCTTGATCACCATGGCAAAGAAACCTTACCAGCTCTGCTGTGTTCATCATATACTGCATATTGGTGATTTAATGTATATGATGTGCTACGTCACAATAAAAGGTTTTCTGACAGATATTTTTGTGAGAAGAGATATGGGGATTTGAGAAGTGTTAAAATGTATTTATCTTAAATTGCTCAAATAGGAATATAGTTAGACCTGAAAATGTCAAGGTTTAAACTATATTACTCCTATTAATACTATTATTCAGTTATCAGATGCCTTTATTTGGGGTCACTGTGTACAGTAGATAAAAATATACATTATGTGTAAGTACAAGGATGTACATATAGGTTAACACAATTAAAATAAATATAGCACAAACTGAAAAAGCAACAAAAGTGCTATGCAATTAAAATTAAATTAAATAGTAAATCCTGTAGAGCAGTAATACAAATACTCTGTACGCATGTATTCCATTTTTACAGTCAAGAATTGCAATTACTGAGTTACAGTACATTACTGGTTTGAAAAGTAGGAATACTAGTGCAATAGAGTGTGTTATTGAAAAAATGTAGTGTACTTGAGAACAGAAAGACTACCAGTGCTGAACGGTGTAACAAATAGTTACAAATATGGAGTTATGAAAATGGAAAAATATCAGGAACTGACCATGCATGTACATCAATTAGTCAAATAATCTTAACCCCCAATTTGTAAAGATTTCTGCCAATAATATACAGTACCCGATTGTTTGGTGTAATTAGAGGCACATGAGATCTTTCCTCTCTGGCACTGCTTTGATGAAAAGAGTAATAATTCAGGCATGCTTGGTTAAACAAATATTTATCTAAAATGACAATACACACAATAAACTATACACAAAATAAACATACAACACAAAAGTCACTCCATGTACAAATTTACAATAAGGCATACCACAGGACTACATTCTAACCACCCAGAAAAAATTCCAGGCTGCTACCAAGTATTTGACACTTAAATAATGCTGTACAAAGGACAAAAGAAATAAGCTACCTTCTGAACTAAATGGAATACAATCTGCAGTTAAATCTCTCTGCAATCCTAGATGCCACCAAATGAATAGGAATGTATCTCTCTATTCTAAAACCAATGTCCAGCAATCTCTAACCAGGAGAGGCCATTTTTAACTAAGAGATTTTTCACAAGGGAAATCAGGGTTCACTAAAAACCACAGAATAGCAATCTCTCTTAACAAGATTCAAATACAGTTCTTAGCTGCAATCTGATCTTTCTCGGTGATCTGGAACAAGGAGCTCTCGCCTTTGAACTCTTCCTCTGTTCTACTCTACCTTCAGGTGATTCTAGCCAGGTGTTACCTATTGTATCTAAATCCTTAGAGACAGTTCCATAGTTACCTATAGATTTAACAATAGTTTTGTCTTTTAATGTATTTGCGAATACAAAATAAAAAACAAATATTTTTAAATGATCCTGAGAGAGTATTTCTCTCTATTTCATTCCTGAGGGAACCCAGGTATTTATTTAAAGAACTGTAACAGTCGAGCACCAAAGTTGTTTATGTGTACTTTCCTGAGGTTTGGAACTCTTTTGATGAAAGGTTTTGATAAAGGACAAGTTGACCTAAAATGTATTCTGAAAGACTTATGTTATCATCTGCATAACTGAAACTTTGGAGTAAATTGTGTTTAACTGCAGTAGTAAGTTTGAGTAATAGCCATGGAAAAAATATTTACTTCAGTTATGGACATACAGTATGACCTTGCTATGTTGTAACCATTTTTAGAATTCTTGTCAAGCTCTGCTTTTATGTAATAAAATATTTCCTTTGAAAATTATATCTTCTGAGCAATGAGCTGCACATTTTATTTTCAAAACTGAAAGCACTTTGAAAGCTCAAAACATGTAAAATACTGAATAAAAGAAATACATCAGACATGAAAAGCTGCAGTAAATCTTTTTAACCCATGCAAATTCCCTGACTCACTGTTGAGACAATTGGAATTAAATGAGGTATTTACAAAGCATTTATTCAGTGTTTTTACATGTTATATTTATTTCAATAGGTCCATTTGAAACAATTGAACAATAAAAACAATATTAGGCAGTTTCCTTCATGTTTTATTGTAACAGCTTTTTAAAAAAGGGCAATGGAAAATATTTTATGCCCTACTAAATATATTTAAAACTATACAAAGAAACATTTTAGAAAAGGATCTCTTTTAAAAACATTCAATAACAATTAATAGAAACACATGTAATAAATAATTTTGTAAAAAAAAGTTTACAATGCAGCAGAAAATTATGTAAACACTACAATAACTTAGAATACTGTAACAGTACAATCGTATTAACTATTTACTTTTCCTGCCTTCTAGATAAAACTTTTCTAGATAAAACAAATATAATTTAAAAATGTGTTTTTGTGGTGCAAGTGATGGAAAATGCAAACATTTCTTAACAAACCATTAAAATAGTTTGTCTAACAGGAAGACAGTATGATGTACTAAAAGTAACGAAAAATCTAAAATTATAAAAATAATATCTACATTTTTGCATTGTTTATATGACAAAAATGGATATACTACTGAATAAGGCAGTACAGAAAATTGCATTCAGTAAATAAATTAAGTGCTGTATGTGGATAGCAGTATAATTTGGTTTTCTGAGTAAGCAAAATAAGTACCAAGAACAACAAAGACAGACAACGGAAGAACTAACTCTACCCTTGATATTTTCTCCTAAATTTTTTTTCAATGTTTGATCATATTTCAAAGTCCCAAATATAAAATCTTTTTCCAAAACCTCCAAGTCATTGAGAACTGTCATCACTTCAGTAAAACAGTCATTACTGAACAGAAAAAAAAGAAACAGGCAGAAGAAACACTCATTTACATTTGGGTTTGTTCAGTGCTAGAATATAAAAGTTCCTCTTTCAAATAGTGCGAAATACAGTACAGCAAACAATTTATAAATATAAAAAACGAAAATAATTCTTAAAAAATAGTTGGTACTTAAATAATTTAATAATTTAAATAGACATTCTCTATTATTGGAGTTCGTGATCAGCAGTTCTTTAGTTGATCGAGATTTCTTATCAATTTGAGTAGATATTTCTGAAGTCTCTCCAAGGCAACATTTCCAATGGTGACATGGAAAGCAGCATTAGTCTTCAAAAAGCTCTCCAGGTGGCTCATGTTGCTGGATTTTAATGGAGCACAGTTGACTGACGTTGCTAATGACTTAATGATCATGCGGAGGTTGAAAATATCAGCTAAGATTTGATCCATTTCCTCCATGGGAAGACTGGATAAAATCTCTTGAAATGTGTGCAAATTATCTTCCACTGTTGATAAGCCTTCCAGCGTTTTATCATTGAGTGCATCTGGTATTAGCTCTAACCCGCTGAAAACCAGGTTCGGTGACATCTTAGACTGATGAAGAACAAAACAAAGAGAGAAAAACCAATCAGGTACAGACATTAGTAATGGGAATAATGTTTCATACTTCCTGAAATCTAGGAAAAAATAATGAAAATTTGAAATGATAACATTTTAATTATCTTAAATTGTACGAAATCGAAAGCTATAATTAATAATATATTGTAATTAACATTTAATAGTTGTATTATACAATAAAAATGAGAAAATGTCCATATTAATCTATTAGAACTGTAATGCACAATACTTAGAACACAATGATGGAAAATATGAAAAGTGTGATTTTTTTTGTTTCTTTGCATACCATTTTAAAATGAAAAATAAAAACCCTATGAATTATGCAAGATGAGATTTTATATATTTCTTTTACAGTTGGGAATTTAGTCTAAAGTTTAAAAAGAAACTAACACACTGTATCAGAACAGCAGGAAGTGCATCATGCAATACATTGCCTAAAATGCTCTGAAAAAGTATTTGCTCTCTATTTTATATACATACTATTTTGCTACAAAATAGAAAAATAGAAATAAATGTATCATTAAATAATAAAATAAATCATTTTTAGACATTTTTATTAATCTTTAACATTGTGCTGTCAATATGGATGTGTTCATATCCATTTTTGTAGACCTCCTTCAGTTTTCTTGTTTGCTTCTACGGGAACATCTAATATGGTTGAATTTCTTATCATATAACCTCTACCTTACATTTTGGTACCTCTTTCTTACAAGAGGTCCACAAGAGAACTACATTTAGAAATCACACTCAGATGTGTTTGTGTAATGCATTGCAAATTGGACTGTAAATATGTTAACAGCTTTTTAGCTGACTATTTTGTAGGTCCTGTCAAGATATAGAAGAATGTTTTTACATACATAATCAGTGTCTAAGATGCCACTGGGTGTAAATTATGCAGCTAAAATCTCATGTGTCCCATACCTGTATATTAAATACCATAATGGTATCATTCCAGTTGAACTCTATATACCCAGTGCTAGTTAAATATTTAATTGATCTGCTTACTTGTTTACTTGTTTCCTGAGTGTCAAAAATACCTGAATTCAAGGGTACTGTTTCCAGCACCTTCTGAATACAGAGGTTAACACACTCCTCTTCTCACCTTGCTTAGTGTTATTCCTGACCAAACAGCTTTTACTAGTTAATCACTTTATGAAGAACAGACACAGATGGGAATGACACAGTATCAGACATTCTCACAATGAGTGCTTCTTTCCATCTGCAGAGGTCCAATTGGACAAATTTCAGGCAGGAAACCTGAACAATGGCAGTTGTGTCTGAGCGTTCAGTATGTTGTGAAACTCAGAAATGGGTACAGGGTTCATAACAATTATGAATCCTATTTGACTTCTTAGAGCTGAAAGCAAATCTACAAAATGTCCCAAAGAGAAAGCTGAAATAAACTCAGCTGAAGCAAAATCAGAAGCCATTCTGCTCTTCAAGGAAGAGTATTGGGAACTCCTGCTGCAATGAAACTGTTACCTAACTTTCTGCTAGAAATAATTCTGATTTTCTTTGCATTCCTCTACTTTTTGTTATTATACATAAATCATCCAATGAGATCTACTGTAAAAAAGGATTGGTGACTTTTGACTGTACCACAGAACCATAGAAGTCAGCAACCTTTCATTGGTAGAGCTGGGCCCTTTGGCAATCTTCTTTATTAGCTAATTAGTGTAAGCTTATTTTGTAGCTGAGCATCCGTTAAGATAATTGTGTGCTCTGTGGAATCAGGCATTTATGTTTGTTTTTGTTGCTGAGCAACAAGCTTTAGGTGCATTTCATCTTCTAGCTGTATTTACTAAGATGCTTATTGAGCCACTCATGGGTCTGAGATGTTCGCTTCATCTGTTTAGGAACGTGATGCTCTGTACATCTAAATAAAACTCTGAACTTAAACGTTCGACACAGTATCAGAATAATCTTTGATTATTATTTGTTTTCAAACTGTTTGTTTAACACTTTGGCAAGAGTTTTTTCCTTGAGTTTTTTAGTCTTCTGTTCTTATTATTCAAACCAACCGATCTAAGGTGATTGATGCACCCTTTTAACACTGTGGATGACAAAAAAGCCTTTCATCTGATTAACTACATGGATTCATCAGGTCAAGATTATTTTAGGGCATCAAAACAGAAAGAACTGGAAAATAATTATAACATTTTAAAATTCTGTATAAAATGTTTAACACAGACAATTGCTTTCCTTAATTACATGTATTTTGATATCACCGAATTGTTCACTTATTTTTTAAATTAAATGGATTTGATAAAAACAACTTCATTCAGGAATGTACATCTTTATTTTTTAGTTAATGAATATCGCCAACATACTTGTGATAACCAAAGAATTCATGTTTGTAATTGATTAACGTAATTGAAATAATAGCTTATTATTCTACATCCATTTCTATGTGTTTGCAAGGACCCTGTTATATTGCCTTCGAGACAATGGTTGTGATTTGCTTATGTCCTTAAAAAGTACCATTTCTTTAAATATTAAGTGCTTGACCTACTTCTGCTGTATGTAAGGTCAAAAGACTTGGTAAATAATGTGATAAATACTGTTATGTATTTTTGTTTCTTTTTAATAAAAATGCTTATTCCATCCCAACAAATCAGCTTAGATAAAGCAATAAAATGTATTGACATACCTCATTAGTATGCTTCTGAATTCTAATAACTGTTGTTTGGGCCAATAGCCTGGCATCATTCTTAACTCTGTCTTCTGCAAGTGGTCTACTGTAACTCAGGGTTAGGAACATCCAGGAAGACAAACAGAAGGGTATCACAGGATATTTCATTCTTCAAAGTTTTTACCCTTACAAAACAGAATGAAAACGAAATAAATTATTGTTTAATAATGATACAATAAAGCAGGAAAAACTGATGACATTATTATTGAGACTTACTTGTACATTCATAGATTTGCATACAGTATGTTGAAGTGAAACACTAAAACAAAATTAATCTAGATTCAAAAAGTTTGCATTTTATGTTTAAAGTCACTATTATATTGTGAAGTGTTGATCCATTGGAAAAAAAACGCTATGAAATGTGAAGTTTTCTGAAATATTTGTCCAAAAATAAATGTTTGCTTATTTTATACTAAAATATAAAAGTATTAATATATTTATTACTTGTATAATTAGAAATGTGTTTAAAATGTCTTTAAACACTTAAACACTTAAACACTTAAAATATTAAACACTCAGAAAGAGCCATGGATATAAAAAGTACATTAAACATAAAAAACAAATATTTGCTAAAGCTGATTGTAATATACTTGCAATGTTTTACGTCTCAGAATTTAAACGGTACTTATCATTTTAACACTGTGACCTACTCTAGAACTTTAATTTAGGACTGATGTCTAGTTTTCCATTCCAACATTCTTCTGCCAAAAAACAAACATGTTTTTCTTTTTTCTAAGCTGTCCTTGCCAAAAGTCACATTTCATCTGAAGGCAAAAATGTGACTTTTTGCATTTTAAAACAAAATTAGTTAGAGTTATTAAACAACAAAGAAAAAAGACGATTGATGGTATTTTGGCTACTCCATTGTCTGGTATGGACTAGTACTGTATATGATTTAGGAAAATATGTTTTCATTTATTACACATGTCAATTTGTAACTAAATTAAAAACAGTATTCCTTCAATGGTTAAAAAACCTTATAGAATCAAATACCTAAATGCTAGATCATAAAACTAATGCCTCAGGCAGAAAACTTAAAGGAGACCTTCCACATAAAAAGTGTAACAGGAATTAACTATATGAGTTCCAGAGCATTAATGAGTTCTATATAGAAATTTCACATAGAAAAAGTAAAGCTGAGAGTGAACCTTACCTCTCTGTGCCCAGGGTCTGTGTGTCAACCCTTAGAAACCATCAGCTTTCCTCTTTTATAGGACTGAGCACAAAAGATTGAATCACCAACCCAATGAATCATTACCTTTTACCAAAAAAGTCTTTCACAGGATACTCCACTGTCCCTTTTAAAAAAACAAAAACAGTTCAGGATACTTTACTTTCAGTTTCTTCAAAACTGAGACTTACAGTGGATACAGTATATGATTTGCAGATGGAAAATGGCCAGATTTGTCAGAATGGAGCTTCATTATTAAAAACTGTAATTATTACTCCTGAATGACAAACTTTTATTTTTTGTTTCACATCCAGCACTACTTTTTTGACAACTTCAACTACATCCACCATCTGGATTTGCTGTTAAATGATTTACTAATTGCTAATACATTATATAAATGATATATATTAATTATAATAATTTAAAATTAACTTAAGGTAGTTTTTTAGGCAATGATTTGAGCTGATCTCCCATGCACAGGTACTGTATGTAAATCTCTAACCCAAACAGATTTTCTCATACAAATGTTAATAAATACAAAACAATATTTCTGCACATTAAGTTTTTTAGTTTTTGTAGTGCCTAGATGTTACTGAAGTGTTGTGCTGATGTCAGCATTCTGTCATTCCCTATTTTCTGCTGCACCAACGATTCACACAGGATCAACATTATCTAGAGCATCTGTAGATATCCGGACAGTAGCGTCTTGAATGAGTCGTTCCAGGAATTATGTCATACAGATAGGCTTGTGTCTTCTGTTAAACGTGTTTTTTTTAATTTATGAGTTCACATGAAGTTATATTACAGTAAAAACTTGGACTGCATAATTTATAAGCTTAAGATTTCAAGTATATTTATTGAGACTGGGAATGATCTTATATCTTATTTAATTCTTTATGAACAGGTGACATTTGCTATTTTATTTACTGTAGTAGACACATCTCCTCAGTTCTCTCCTTGTGTTTTTAAGAAACTGGTATTCTGTATCACACATTAGACTTTTCTGGGAGAACTGTAACCTTTCTGCATTCATAGATGTGGTCGATGGCCTGTGGTGGACTGCTGTGATATAATATCCTTTTATTCAATGTGGATGCTTCCAGAGACACCTGTGCAATTTTTGATCTGCTAGGCTTTTAGAGCAGACAGTCAAGTTGTCTTTAGAACCCATTTCAGTATCTGTCATGCTAACTCCATGCTATGTCTAACCTACTTGGGATGAGTTCTTATATGATATATCAGACAGTCTGCAGCAATTATAACCTTATAATTTCTTTTATGATCTCTGAATTTCTCCAACATTAATAATAATAATAATAATAATAATGTAATATTATACATGCAGTATGGTTGTCAAGTACCATCTTATATTAATACCTTGCACTTGATCAAGCACTAATCTGTGTGCAATGCAGGCAGGAAGTGTTAGTAAAATGTTCCAGATTACCTTTTCATACAGTACCTTCATAGAACCAGATGTATTCTAATGAAAGAAAACTGAATTAATCTCGTCACTCTTCCAGAGTAATAATATTTATTTCCTAACATGGTGACCATAATTTCTACAATATTCTAAAAGACCTCTTACCAGTGTTTTGAATAATTTCAACAGAATGTGATATGAATTGACATACTCTAACACATCATTAGCCTTTGTAACATTCTTCATATATGGCAGTAGGAGATACTGACAAGTTTACATACAAATCTAACTCATTTTTTATCCCCACTTTTGTTATCTGGAAATTTTAAATGACTACAGTCTAGCTGTCTGATTCTTGATGCGACACTGACCATTTTATTAATTAAAAACAACAACAAAATACTGTTTTGTAGCTAGATTGAAATAATAATATTAAAAGGACAAACATTTAAAATCTATATAAAAAATACACATATATTATTAGCAATGATTGATGACCAAAGTGGAGTTTCAGGCTGGAAATGAGTATGATATGAGTCGAAGCTGTTGTACATGTGAAAACTACTTTAAATGTCAGTTTAGTCCGTGCAGAAGAGATGTATCTCTTCAGCCTTTGGCTTTATACTCACATGTTTTATATACAGTAGCTAAACTGGTTGGAGGTTGTATGCTCACCCCATGTTTGTGTAGGCTTTCTCCAGGTGCTCTGTTTCCTCTCACAGTTCAACAACATACTTGTACTGTACATTAATTGACTTTTGGGAAAACTGGCCCATGTGTTTGTGTCTGTGTGTGCGCTGTGATGGACTGGTGTCTAGTCCAGGGTTATACCCTGCTTTGCACTTGCTGCTTGCTGAGATGGACTTCCTGTGACACTGAATTGGATGAAGCCCTTAAAAAACGGTTGGATAGTTAAATAAGCAAATTAACACAACCCCTTCTGATTAAAAGTTTTTTGTTTGTAGCCAAAATATGAAGGTCACCTAGTATCATCCCTAAATGTATTACTCTACTAAAAAATGGGTTTTGAAGCATTCTATAAGAAAATGCAAACCATTAACATTCAAGAAGATGCAGGACTAAGGAATTACACTTTTATCAATGTGAATAATAAGAGAAGTATAAATTCAAGGATTTTAATTTATTTCCAATTTACCTGACAACAAGTGCGTTTCCCCTCTGATTACAGGCAGTCTGGTTAAGATGAAGAGGTTGGTTCTACCCAACATAAAGATAGGTGTTTTCTTTACAGCTTTAATTCAGACATCATAGACAAAATGTCATACCCTCACTCGTCACACACAAATACTCAATACACACACAATACACAAGTCATACTCACTGCTAACAATCCTAATCCCATTATTTAATCAATAGCCTTGACGATATGCTATGGAAGGCAATCAGTACTGCCCACCAGACACCAAATCCTTCTAGTATTTAAAACCCACCTTCTCACCCTCCCATGCTTAGTCTTGGTATTCTCTACATGTCTTAGCATTTTCCAGTCTATTTCTGTGCCTTCTCATTTTCCAACCATACCTAATCTCCAGGATTGCCCCTGTACTGTGCTTGACTTCTGTGTTTTTGGCCCTGGACTGCCATTTCTATGCTACTTTGTACTTTCCCAGCTGGTACTTCACTCCGAGCGTGTCTGAACTTTTGACCTACACCTGTCCCTTGATATGATATGGTTTACATTTTGGCTTGTTTCCTTTTTCTCTCTCCTGAACCTCTACCTGAATCAAGATTCCTACCTCACCATCCTTGTGAGTGTAGTACTCTACTAATTAACTCTCCCTAATCAGGGCTTTCTTCCCTTATTATTGAGTATTATTACAGTGTTTTCTGTTCATTATTATTTAAACCATGAATACACATTATTAAAACTCTTACAGGTTTTGAGAGAAGAATTTTATATTAGTGTGGAACCTTATTTAAGGTTTTCTAGAATCCTAATATATCATAGGTTGGTTCATAGTTTACTTTTATGCATTCCTACTGTTGCTTGTTCAAAGAAATCAAGCAGGTCAGGTAACAAGACCTACCATTTCCAAATCCATGCCAGTTATTTACAGTTTAGTCTCAATGCAGGCAATAGAAATAGACAGAATGTAAAACTGATCAGGTCCCTGCAAGTGGAGTCAGGAAGAGATGTACTACACATGGTGTAAGTCTATGGAACAACCGTTAAGGTACAGTAAGAATAAGTTCATTAAATAAAGAAAATGCGAATGAGACTATCTCCAACCTGATAATCAATGTGACAGCCATGCAAATAAATAAAGTACTAACAATTAAAATTTCAAATTACAGATAGGTGGTGCTATACAATTGTTGCTAGCTTTCCCATAAGGCATAGTGGAGCTTACTCTCTGTCACAAGTTAAATGGCTCTGACAGGAGAGCATGTTGGAAAAGCATGTTCACAGGTCCTTACTTTCCTCATGCCGGAGCTGGAATCATTACTAGAGAGACAAAGACTTAAACAGTTTGCAAATCTAAACTGGGTAGAAATGTAATAAAAATTAATTGTCCATTACAAATCAAAAAAATATTGCTTTGTACTTATGGTTATACCAGTATATAGTTTCCGCTTAATATGATTAAAGAAGTAAATCATAACATTTTTGTTGGGATAATTGATTATTATGGGAAATTATAATCTATAAACCACAACCTAGGATGTACATAACAATCCAAGCACGTAAAAGAATGGTAAAAGGTTTTGACATTTGTGCATTCAAAATCAGTTTAATCAGAAATACCTTTGTGTAGATAAATTATTAGTTTAGGTTCTGGGAGTTGATCCCAGAATATTATCCACTTTTTTGAAACACGTCCAGCCAATTTTTGAAAGCTCGCAGAGAGGGTAAGTAGCAGAGAGACCATCCAGGACAGCACTCATTTAAACAGAGCAGAAGTGACAATTGCACAAAGACAGTGCTTTCTATAATATCTTAGTAATTATTATTCTATTGAAAAACAAATTATGGAGATATTCAGACTTTTCATAAAATATCAAATTAGTATGCCACATTCAACATAAATATGCAACATTCAATGAATGATGCAACTTTTATATTTTGAATTTAAAATCTTTATCTAGTTTTATGTTTTGACAAGTCATACACAGACCACAGTACTTTGCATAGCTACAATGTGGAAGCTACTGTAAGTAAACATGATTATTGTATTTCCACAGGGAACCTTCCAGTATTTCTTAATAAACCTTTAACCACTGCAGGAAATGACAAAATACCTAAAATAAGTTCAAGCATGAACCATTCTGAATTTTTTTTTATGAATTGACATCATTAGTACCACCCTGTGGATTATGTGTCATTAAATATACCTTTACTCCTTTTACTCATGCACCTAAACTTACATAAAATCACTCAAGAAGACTTTACATAAAATCACCTACTCTGTATATGCCTTCTGTAAGATGTCTACCAGGTATCATAAGGTATGAAGTAAACTTTTCCTTTTACTATTTTCCTGAAGTTCCTTAATAATATTATTTAGATTTCTAAAACCAACAATATATGAAAATATTTTAAATAGAAGATGTCCCTCACC